CCTGATGATGAATGTTCCTGATGTACTCTGGTACTTCAGCAGTGAAAACTTGATTTGCAAGGATCTGGAAAGATCATAAAGCTCTGCTATTGTTAATTAGTTATACATTTTAATTGCAAGTGTTCTGATGTTGTTATAGAATGGATTTACATGGGGGAATAAAATGGAGATGTTGCTGGCAATGGAAAAAGTACTAAAGATGACACAGTCAGTGGTTACAGAAGTGTAAAAGACTGTCTCTATAAATGCTTTAAAGGTACCTGTGTAAAGGAGCAAATCTGAAGATTTTCTTTCAGTTAATACATAAAGAATATTGATTTTTGTTTCCTTATTATAAAACTAAGGAATGATGAAAAAATAAAAAAATGACAGTGCTGTAACAAAATTTTTTCTTGCATCTGTGTGTGTTCTGCTTTTCCAGGTCCCATATATCCATTCAAAATCTTTTATCAGTATAAAGATACAGTAAAATAGTGTATGTTAACAGTAAAAGCAATTTTACTTGTTCAAAGTACTATATTGAAAACAAGTTAGCTTATGGTGTATTAGTAAGTACCAGGGAGATACAGGCTTTGTAGCTGCTTTTTTTCTCTAACCCATTCTTCCATGTTTACAGCTAAGCAACAGCAGCATAGCTTGCATTTTAGGAAGTAGTATTGTTTATGAAAATACTTTCAAACTAATTTAGGGGGCGGGGGAAGAAGAAATGGTGTTATGCTAAAACCTGGATCCCACTCCACCCATAGCGCTTTATTCAAAAATCCACTATTGGAAAACAAACAAAAAACCGCCCACAAAAAAGTCAGTCCCCAAAACTACCTGTTAGAATGCCTTTGAACATTCAACAGTTCAAAAGCATTTTTAAATAACGTATTTCCTTCTGTGTCATTTAAAGAGCTAATCTGTTTTCTTTCTTTTGTGGATATGTTTTGTGCCAACATTTCCAGCTGTTTCCACCATTTCAAATCTGTGGCCTGAAACTTAAACTATGTCTGTTGTTTCACAAAGCTATGTGTGCATGTCAAGTTCAGTTAACTGTACTCTGTCAAGCTTTATGTTAAAAAGCCCTTCAGTCAAAAAAAGACTTTAGAAATAGGAAAAGTTTTAAACAGATTGTTGTAATGTAAATTGGCTTTAGATGTACAATGAAATGCATACAGAAGACTTAATATGTCTGCCTTTTCATGCCTGGATCAGTAAGAATTTTCCTCCTAGATATTCTACAACTTTTTATTGTAGGCACTCCCTAATAATGCTTAATTTGTTAATTGAATTATTTTAGAGTAATATAGAAGCTTTCAAATTCTGCAGCTGAAATATGGATTTAAAACTTTACTTGTGGAGCAGTTTAGCATATAGATAATATATAAACTAAGCTGGTCTTGAGTTGATACTTCCATTTCATCGTTCTCCTCTGACATCAGCGTATCAGACTTGCAGAAGAGTACAATGTGACAATATGTTTAAGTTTAAACAATTACAGATAATTAGAGTGGTAAATGTCATGATGTACAAGTGTTAGTGAAATATGTTTTTAATTATTACTTTGCTTTGTGTCATATTTCATCCCTTGAAGCCAGCAGTACCCTCAAGATGCTGTAGCCCATTTATGGAACTTCTCCACTCCCTACTAATTATCTGTAATTAATACCTTGCTAAAAAGTTGGGATTGCTTAGTCTTTTCCTAGTACCATTCGTTACCCATCTATTTAAAAATGTAACTTAATTTTAATTCAAAGTAAATTCTTTCACAGATAAATTTTTCTGAAATTTTCTCTTCCATTCTGAGGCAAAAGAAAAAGATACGTTCTTTGGGTTTTTTTTTAATCTGTATGTTATTCGCATTAGTAGGAAATAGTTTGCATTCTACCAGAAAATTTTCTTTAAAAACAAAACAAATAAAGGAGACATTTTGGTAATAAGTATTTGGAATTGAAAGTTACCGGGCCATTTCTGGTTTCATTGGCAATTTATCTCTGGACGTCTTTATTCGAGAGATCGCTCCATTTTACATATTTTGGAACTAGGGTTCCCTATTCCTTTATACTTTTTGTTGACCTTTTTGTATCTTGAATTTTTACAGAATATAAATAATTTATGCTTAATTTAAAAATATTCCAGTGTGTCTTTTTGAAACCCCTGTTTTCTTTAGTATTCGGAAAGAAGTCTTTCTTTTTAAGTTACTCTATCTTCTTGTGTCTGTTTTGTTTTGTTTTGTTACTCAAAGTGTTCAAAAACTTCTGTAGAGAAGTATAACACAAATTACTTTTCTTTCTAAGTGGACTGTGTAAAAGGATCTTTTGGATTGCAGTCATGACAAACAAAAATGACAAAAATGACTAATTTAGATAATATAAAAGTGATAACTGATTTTTCCAAGACATGTGTAAGTTACACAATTCAGATGTATAATATTTATGAATTCCTTGAATTTCACTGATTCATTATAAAACAAGAATAGAAACTAAAAATTTTCTTCACCTTTTTTACTAAACTTCTTGAGGAAGTTTTAAAAGAAAAAAGGGCAAGTTGTATTGCAGCACTCTCATTTGGATCTTCTTTAACCCATTTAAACTTTTGCATTCTTGGCAATTTTGAATCCTGGAGGAGGCTGTGAATTACTGAGCACAGTATCTGGGCTGTCATGTTTTATTTGAAATATGAATTTGTAGACACATTGTTAAATTTGACACAGCGAAAGGGTTATTTCAGCTTTTGTAAAGGAAAGCTTATGCATTGCAAAGCTAATTGTTGTTCTTTAAAGAGTTAACTGGCATCTTGTTTGAGGTTGCTGAAGCTGATAACTGCCAACTTGCATAATGAAATGTTTCACTGAAGCTTTTACTGGAGGTTCTTTAAGAAAGCTGAACAGATTTGGGACAAGAGTAAGGACTTAACAGAATAGATTGTTTGTTAGAAGATAAAAAAACAAGGTAAAGTGCATGACCAGTTTTCATAGCAGTAAATCACCAGTGGAGTTTTGTGAAGATCTGTGCTGGGACCTGTGCACTTCATTTTGTTCATAAATAATTTGGAACAGAAAGTGGAGATACCCTTCTTTTTTTTTTCTTTTTTTTTTCTGGGTAATAGAGATGAGGGCTAACTAAGAAGGTTTGTAGAAGGATGTTATGATAAAATTGGTAGATAAGTGTAGATAAATGTAAAGGAAGGCAAAAGGGCTGATCAAAGTTTTGACGTAGCTTCCACATATGAGATGACTGAATAGACGTTGATCTCTCTACCTGTGGAAAGATGTGAGAAGAGATGTGGTGGAGCATTTTGAAGGTGTTTTTTGCACTCCCTTTTCTGTCAGAACAGCAGAGCATGTGATGAAAAGAGTGATGAATCAGATGCTTCCTGATGCAGGTGCTGAAGTAATACTGCTATTCAGAAAGTAATTGGTGAATTAAAGATTCTTGTAATTCACTGAGGACTGTTGAGGCAATCGCTTCTGGTTCAATGCATCCCTCAGGGACGTCTTAATTTAGAAGATTCCCAAGCTAGTATAATAGCTTCATATGAGGTCAAGGGAGTATTCTGGGGAAGTAAGAAGACAAGATTGCCTTGTTCTTATTTACTTACCCTTGACTATTCACTGTCAGCCTCTACTAAGGACTGGATACTGGGCCAGCCAGCCTGTGGTCTTATCAAGTACATCAATTTCTATGAAGGACCCTATCTTAAATTATCCTTCCTTGTTACATGTAATTCATATTTCTGGATGGACTGGTAATTTAGCAATATGAAAATATGCCAGAACTTTCTTATCTTAATCAGGCCAATTCACCTTAAGGTAGTCCTGTTTGATAAGCTCCCAATTCCTGGTTTTATACCTCGTTATGTTTTGGCTTGACAGATTCTGCTCCCTACTCAGTTTTCCATTAATTCGGATTATTATAATGACTAACTATAGGAAGCCAAACTGCTTGGGAAGGGTGTGTTGAGAGAAGAATGCCTCTTCTAGATGACTAAAAAGTGGAAAACCTTTTTTTTTAAATCTGGAAGGCTCATGGAGCAGCATGAAACTTTGCTATGTTGTACACATATAACAAGAAAAATAAAGAGGGAAACGTAAGGAATACAGATGTTCTTGGTTACTACTATCCTTTTTTGATGCTGCAGAAACCAGAATAGACAAGGCATTTGAAGAGTCATGTTTCTATAATTTATTAACTTGTTCTCATGCTCTAAAAGTTTGTCACTAGAAGGTTGATGATTTCTTTTGGTGGGGCCTCAACTCTGTCAAAATTTTTTTTTATACATGTAGCTTCTCATTGATTTAGTTAAGAACATAAAGGTGTAGCAAGATACTTGCAGCACCTAACTGAATTCATCTGTGGTTATAAAGTGTATATTTACTTCTGTAACACTTTGCTGGATAGCTAGAATTTGGCATAAGCTTCTTGGAAGGGTTTTGTTTCTGATCCGTCCTGAACCTGCCTACCTAATTCAGAATGTATTATTCTAGACAGGACTATTGAGATATAAGGTTTAATTAATGAAAGAAAATCTGTTATTGCTTAAAAGTATGCTTTCTTTAGGACCAATTAAGAATATTTATTCTTTTTTAATTACTGCAGTGTACAGACTATGACCTGGATTATGGAACTGAATGTTTGCATCTGGCTCTGAAATACTGTAAAACAAATGCCAAACTTGTTGAAGGAACAGCTGACCTCTGGAAGGTAAAGGCAATAATAATCTCTACTTTTATATAGGTCTTTAAAAAATAATAAAATTCATATATTACCATAAAATTCAGGTGTGTTTTCAGTTGTAATACTTAGGCCTTTCTCTTCCAGATTTCTGAGTTGTTTTTGGATTATCGTGAGCTTCTTTTAGAGCTCATTGTTGTAGACAGCCTTGGGCAGATGTTACCTGAGGTAATCAATGAAGACAATATTTATCTGGAATTAGGAAAACCAACTACGTGCTTGAATCTGTAAAACTATAAATCCATAATCTCTAAACCTAAGAAGTTTCTTTTATGAAATGAAATTTCTCATGCTATTTCTGTATCTTTCGTCTATTTTGCTCCACTTCCTATGAGGACATCACTTTTTCTCTGATGCCAAATACCAGGCTAAAAACAGTTTGATTTTTTTCTTTTTTTTAGAGCAGTTCATTACATTCAGTAACACTGTAATGTTTGGACCTCTGCAAACAATCTTTTGAAATTTTTAAACATCGTTCACTTTGTCTGATAATCTGTAGGTTCCTGATGACTGACAAAGCAGGTATGTGTACAGGTACCAAAGGATACATCCCTGCTGCTTAAAAGTATCCCATTTCATTGTTTTGGATAGTGGGACATTACTCTTTCTCAGTAACTGTTGTGTCATGCAATTTTTAAGTGTTTCCTTTTTTTTTTTTTTTTGTTATTTTATTCATTACCACATTGAAGGATCTGGAAGCAGCCCAAATCACTCCAGCTGTCTTTTACAGTAAATTCCTTCAATGGGACATGATTTCTAATAATATGACAGTAAATCTAACACAGGAAGGTAATTTCCTGAATCTGCAGTGCAAATTTCCTGTGCAATTTAGCAGCAAAATTTACTTATGTGTTGGTTGCATACAGCAACTTCTTTGAATAACTTTCTGGGGACACGGTCTTTCTGAAAAAATATATTGTCTATTTTCCTGTTCAGTCTTCTAAGGGACAGATTATGTCATGCATATTTGCATTAGATCACTTTTTGGATGGTTTCATTGTTCTCATTGCAAAGCATGGTGCTTACACGAAGGGTAACAAAATAAGCCCATAATGTTTGTTTAGTTCTTTATATTATTTATTTAGTTCTTTACTATCTGTAGATACTGCTGATGTCCAGGAGATGAAACGTAGTCTTTGGACCTAGAATGACAGAATAATTATGACTGAAGGAAGTACCTAGATGTCATCTGGTCCAACACCTTGCTGAAAGTGGGGCCAATGCTTATCACCCTGTATGGAGAAGATTTTTTCATAATATTTGGTCTGTGTTTCCCTTACTGCCTCTTCCACTGGGAAATTCTGTAAGGCCAACAGAAAGATCTGCAAGAAGAGTGCAGTTTTCTCTTCTATGTAGCCATTAATTATGACCTTTTGCCACCCTTCATCTTCTGTTCTTTGGGCTGAACAACCCAAGTTTTCTCACGCTGTCTCAGCAGCCTGGGCTTCCTCCTGTTCCTCGCAGCATTATACTGGGGAGCCCAAAATTAGAAACGGTACTCCAGCGTGTTCTCAAAAGGGACGGATACAGGAGAATATTCCCTGTATTCTCTGTAAGGAATTCTTCTCCCTTACTAATACAGCTCAGTCAGCTGGACTCCTTTTCTGCACTGCTGCTCACTGCTGACTCGTGTTCAGCTTGTCCGGAAGCTCCTTTTCTGCAAAGCTGTTTTCTGTATTTGGCATCAGTATGGACTGCTGCGTAGAGTTATTCTGTCTCATACGCAGGATGCTGTATTTGTGTTTGTTATGTTTCACAAGGTTTCTGTCAGCCCCTTTCTCCAGCCTTTCAGAATCCCTCTAAATGAGTGTTGTACCCTTCAGCATATTGAATACTGTCCCATTTGTTATCTACTAGTTTGCTGAGGGTATTTCCCCTTTTCCAGGTTATTAATAAAGATATTAGACAGTATTGTCCACAGTATCAGCCCCTGAGGAACAGCACTGGTAACCAGCCCCCAGTTACACTTCAGAATTGAGCTTGTGCACATCTGTTTTCAAAGAGAATTGTTGAAGTGTTAGTGCCACTCCAACGTTGTTGGTGAAACAAAATCCTGATGTTGTTAACTTTCTAGCACATGGAATCCATTGCAGTATCACTGGACTTTAAAGAGGCCTGTAAACACATGAAAAATGATAACAGTTGAAGAGTGAATTCCTTGTAGGTGCTCAGATATTGGACAGAGGACTTTTTGAGATTGTGGTATAGTGGAGAATATAATGGAGAAGGAGATTCAGCTGGAAAAGATGAAAATACTGTGGATCAGGTGAAAGTCTCAGTGTTGACAGTGTGGTGCTGTGTGTGGCAGCAGCAACAGCACCCATTTATGCGCAGATACTGTGCTGCAGGCGGTACAGAGCAGTGAATATGCTATATATAGTATACACAAAGGTGCTGGTGCTGTATCATTAAAGTACCTTACCTTCTCACGTCCTATTCCCTGTCTTATTTTGTAGCTAAAATTCATTGGTGTCTTCTGTGGCTTGTGAAGGCATTCAAAGTCAAAGGCATAAAAATGGTAAGGTCTGCATAGCAGTAAATTGTTTCTGCAGCAGATACTCCTATCAGCTTAGAGGCTACAGAGGAAGATAGCTCCTTCCTGCTTGAATAGCACCCGGGTGTTGGTCACTCTGTACCAGGGTGTTTGGCAGGTGACTTGGGGCAGTACCATTAAAGAAGAGAACAGTTGTGCTCAGTCTGTGAAGTTTGATGAAGTGCAGAACACTGCCAATTTTCTCAAGTGATGCTTGCCTAAAAAATGGTTAGGAGCTGTGGCTGTTTGCTACTAATCACCTTTCAGAAGCAGAATTGTCTTTCCTTAGCTGTTATAATAATGTAATTTGTAAAATGTTGGTTTGTTTTTGTGTAAGGCTTTTCAATGCTGAGATAAATTATGTTTCGTAAGCTGAGAACTGCTGTGCTCCCAGTGGCTCCAAGAAGCAAAACAAGAGGGGAAAAGATACTCCATACAGATAAATGAGAACTGAAATAAACAATCACTGTTCAGTTGAGGTTTCAGAGGATGTGTAACAGAAAAACTGCAGTTAACTAACAAGTGGAGAACAGTTTCTAAAGTCCAAGTATTACAAACCAGTTTCATTCTATGTGGACCTTGAATCTTTACAGAGAAGATCTGCTATTTGTAAGAATTCAGTTTATTTGTTAGGTGTTTAACATATAACATTGTAATGTATAACATTAAATGACTCAAAGCTGTGTGAAAAAGTTCCTTATGTGTGCGTGTGTATTATTTTTTTGAATTAACTCTATTCTGCAGGAGCGCTGTCTACTCATAATGTATTACAAAAAGTAATGTTTCAAAGTCACTCATGGTTGGAGCTAAAGCAAGAGATAGTTTGTTTACTTTCTGGTAACAAATTACAAAATTAAAGTCATTCTTTGTAGTGTCAACAAGAAGCAGGCAGGAACATTCACGTTACTTTGGTGTTATAAATATTTATAAGTTCTATTATAAATGTAGTTGTTATATAATTATTTATAACATTTAGATCAGGATGGTGAAAAAGGAAACAGAATCACACTATCAACACCGCATTTTCAATTTCTCTGTGCTCGATACCTTTGAAACAAAATTACCTTAAATGTTTTGGGGCAATATCCTCATAATGTGTAAAATCATGTAACAGAATGTACTTGTTGGAGTCTAATATATGCGTGTGTGTATAATGCAGATGAAAACTGCATTGTAAGAACACTTTTAAAAATTTGATACCTGTTTAGACTTAATCCTGATAGTGCAAAAAATACTCACCATTTCTAGAAACAACAGGTTATTTTCTAATGCTAGAGAAATATCCCATGCTATGGAGATCTGTATGATACCTTAATATGACAGGGGAAAATGCCTCATTAAACTAAAATGCGTTGCATTTTGTGTATGTGTGATAATAACTTTATTGTATTTATTTGGTAAACAGTTATGTTTTGCATTTAACATACTGTTTTGTAAATCTTCCTAGGTAGTGAAAAGTTGCAGTATGACAATTGAGAGAGAAGAGCACATAGGAAACCAATCAAACAAACCGTTGTCTGATGATTTTGAAGCATTACTAAATAGATATAGTATATTGTTTATTATACAGTAGAGAAATGTTTAATAACTAAGACTATTGTGCCCTTGCCAGATAAGCAGATGATGGTTTCATATTCCATGACAGTGAGGTATTTGTCTTGAGTTTTAGAACTTGGCCTAGCGAAATTCTGGATTGCAGCGATAACATTCAAAAAATCTTGGAATGCTGGATGCTCAATAGGATGGAACGAAAATTAATGTTATCACATGAAGAGAGAGAATCTGAGTGATTAGAAGCCTGTGAGTTCGATATTGAGTAACAAAACAAAAGGGTGCACTGCTACAGGCAGAACTCGATTAATCAAGAGTTAAGAGACTAATGCAATTAATGTCAACCAACATGAAATTTACCTATTTTGTGAAATTGACTTCAAGGCTTTTTTACAAGATTGTAGTCTTGGCTGATAAAGATGGTAATGCTGATACAATGTATGGTTGGCAGAAGTTTGACTTCTTACTACATGGCATCATAATTAAAAATAGGATGACTGTAATATTTAATGTTTTTCTGATAAAGTTTGCAGACAAAGCAAAGATTTAAGGGTTTGTAAATAAAACTATAACTGATCAGAAGTAACCTATTGAGAAGGATTGCTTGGCAAACAATTTACAGAAAAGGTATGGGTTTTTTTTTTCAACCAAATATAAAGAAGTGGGTTTAGAACCAAAAATTATAGGCCATATTTAGAGAATTGTACTGGGAAGACAGTGACTTTGAAAGTGGTGTAGGAATCACAGAGGATAGGAAGTTTCCACTGTGAGCAAAATACCTTATGTCAGCCGTGGATATATAAACAAGAATATGAAATTAGAAAAGAGATGTTCTAGTATTACAAGTGCATCTAGAATACCATGGCAAAATCTGGACTGAAGCTCTGATCCTTAAATTTTAAATTCGAGACATTGATTCTTCCCAACAGTATATAAACAGACAGCTAAGTTTTCGCAGGCTAGATTCGTTCTCTGGCTGCTTCTCCTGCAGCAAAATCTGTGGTGAAGTTTAATTTTTAATTTTAAAAGAGTATAATTCCTTGGAAAAATGATGAGTAATGAGAAAGGTAATAGTTGTCTGTTTCTGACTACAATACACAGCTTCATTTATGAGATGGAAAAGAAAGTGGTTACAAGATTCCTTATGTTAAAATGAAATAGTCATTTACTTGGAGACTAAAATGCTGATACCTACAATAGTGTGTTTCTGCTGTAAGATTTACCGTGCAGCACTAAAGCTTTTGAAATCCTATTAAGTCCATTTCAAAAAGGAAGAAAAAAGTTATTCAGACTCTAGAGAAACAAATGAAGAAAATCCAGTAATATTTAACATAAAAGGAAGTTGCAGTAAAAACAAAACCAAATATTTAGCAGTTATTCTTATATCGGTTCATTCATATATTCTTCTATCGGTCACTGCATGTCATTGCAAAGACATTGCTAGCAGAGATTGTTAGCACCTTGGGTAGATGCTGTCTTTAGTTTTCTGTTATTTTATTTGCAAAGCCTAATACTGGGATTGTCAACCACCATGAGAGTACAAAGGCAGATATGACAGGTGTTTTTTGCAAGTACCAAGTTGATATTCAGCATCTTATTATCCATCTAACTTGATCTGAATAATGTCTTCAAGAAGATCTTGATGGTTTTTAATCCTCTGAAAGCTCATACAAAGCCTACTATAGTCTCACTGACTCCCACTGATTAATTGAACTCTCATTAACAGTAATAGTCTTGCACTACTGAAAAATTACACCTGCATAAGTAAAAGAAATAACGAGGCTTCTCCCTGGCTGTCATTTTTATGATCACAAGTCCTATAAAAAATGAACCTAATTCACAATAAAATTATAGAGTAAACACACTGTTTTTAAGGAATTAGAAAAATGGATGTGTGAAAATAGATGCAATGTCATATTTTATGATTCTTTAAAGGGTTAGAAATAGTTTTAGATTTCAAATGAGTTCTAAGCAGATCGAAGTATTTAAAAAAAGGTTTCTCTTGAGTCTCCAGTAATTTCTGTAGCTTCTGTTCTCGTGACTTGCCAGTGATATTTTACCAGAATTTAGAAATTGACAATATCATTTGTTTATGGTATTTCAAATGTAAAGGATTGCCTTCAGGGCATTGTTTTATTGGTTTTGCATTCCTTCCTGCTGTGTAAAATCTAATGAGGCTTGTCTGTCCTTTAGGTGACCTACAAGCGGGATCTGTATGCAGCTGAATCGATTATTAAGGGTATGTGTTTGTCCTTGTGGCTGTCATTTTTCATATTCCTCAGTCTAATTTAGAATCTTGTGTGCTGTAGTTTTAAATGTGTTTAGGAAAAGTTTTATTATGAATAAAATGTGCTTAGGCAAGTTGGTTTTGCTGGTTCACTGGAATACTTATATTATGCATTATTTACCTTTATTTACTTCTCTTAGAATAGAGAACCTTGTAAAAAGCTGTGTATATTACAAAGTCAAACAGAGATGAATTTTGAATGGCTTTATAAGGAATAAACAATTATTTTCTTTCATTTCCACTTCAATTGTGAATACGTTCCATCTTTCTAACCTAAGTAGTAGACTGGAAATTAAATATTAACTCTTTAGGGCTCTTTACATACAGAAACATGTTACCTAAGTTGATATAGCAATTATATGTTATTGAGGTATACAATTAATTTATAATTACTCTGTTGAATTGGTTTTTAACCTTTTCTTGTACTGGTAACAGTGGTTTCGTAGCAGTTTAACATAAAGGCTAGATTTAGTCTTTATCTAGATTGAGTCTGCCTAAAACAATGTAGAAAGGAAGAACGCTTAAGTACTGTATGATGAGCCCACTGATGGTTATTCTAAACTGATAGGCACTGATTCAGGGGACTTTTGCTTGACTCAGTGTTGAGACCTGAAGGATAAAAGCCTGGAAACTGATGAAGAGAAAGGGACTTCCTTTTGGATTAAAAATATCTTTCCAGAGAAAAGATCATAGTTCCTATTTAAGAAAAGCAGAAAAAAAAAAAAAGTCCTATTAGGGCATGGTGAGTGACTGACTAGTTGTTCACTTCGGTCTCTTGTGTTGTATACAAGGTCCAGTATTGGTTTAGCTTCTGGTTTGGGTAAATTAGACCACGTCAAGCTCAGCTCCGTTGCTGTAGACAAGCCAGAAAGCTTAAACAGAGCTCAGTTATTGCTGTGGTATTCTGCATGTTGCTTTTCCAGACCTCCAGGAATGCAACAAGTTTGAAGATTCTGGTTGTTACAGTGGGCAAATGTGGCATATTCTATGCACTTCTAGAACTACCTGGTAGAATTTTTCAGGCGCATACCAAGGAGATAAGGCTGTGAAGTTCTTGGGAACTAGAACTTGGGAGTTGTAGTTTTGACAGGGACTGGGTTCTCGTCTCCATAGCTAGAGGCCTGGAATTTTTTAAAATCTTGTTTTGAGTAGGATTCTTAGAGGTACCACGCTCCTCTAGCTTTCAAGCTTAGGATTTCCAAACATGTTAAAGACAAGAAGGTAGCTGGGAATAGTCAGCATGAATTTTCAAAGGGGAAGTTATGCCTGATTAACCTGATAGCCTTCTACAATGAAATGACTAGCTTGATGGATGAGAGGAGAGCAATGGATATGGTTTGTCTTGATTTCAGCAAGGCTTTTGACGCTATGTCCCATGACATTCTCATTGACAAAATGATTAAGAACAGACTAGAAAAGTGGACAGTGAGGTGGACTGAAAACTGGTTGAACTGACAGGCTCAGACATAAAGTCCAGCTGGAGCCCAGTCACAGCAGTTTACCCTAGAAGTCGATGCTGGTTAAAATCTTCACTAATGATCTGAGTGATAGAGCAGAGTACACCTTCAGCAAGTCTGCAGATGATGTAAAACTGGGAGTAGTGGTTGATAGACCTCTAGGTCTGTTGTACTGCTGTTCAGAAGGACTTTGACAGGCTGGAGAAATGGGTGAACAGGAGTCTCATGATTCAGCAAGGGGAAGTGCAAACTCCTGCACTTGGGAAGCAAGGCACCACTACAGGCTGGGGCTGACCGCCTGGAAAGCAGGTCTGCAGAAGCCCCAGGGAGTACTGGTGGACAACAAGTTGAACAGGAGCTGGCGATGCACCCTTATGGCAAAGAAGGCCAGCAGCTGTGGTAGACAGAGCATTGCCGGCAGGTCAAGGGAGGTGACCGTTCGCCTCTGCTCAGCACTGGTGAGCTCACATCTAGGGTGTTGGGTCCAATTCTGAGCTCCCCTGTTCAGGAGTGACATGGTCATACTGGCGAGAGTCGAGCGAAGGGCCGTGATGATGATTGAGGTAGTGGAGCATTTGTCATATGAAGAGATGCTGCGAGAGCTCGGACTGTTATGCCTGGAGAGGAGAAGGCTCAGGGGGATCTTAGCAATGTGTATAAATGCCAGATGGGTTGGAGTGAAGAAAATTGAGCCAGACTCTTCCTCAGTGGTGTTCAGGGAAAGGAGAACAGGTAATGGTCACAAACTGAAATACAGAAAATTCCATTTATACATCTGGAAAGCCTGGAAATTCTTAGGATTCTCAGGGTTTTATTACAAAGCTGGAGAATGGAAGGGAGACTCTCTGTCCTTGATTTCCTAGGAAACATTCGTTCAGCTTAGATTGCCAATATGAGCATCTCTTGGCTTATAAATGCCATTATTAGCAGCTTTTATTGAGTTACTGAAAAGAATATTTCATCTCAGAAATTATTTGGGTTGATATTTTCAGAAAAATATTATTAACTTATTCAAGCTTATGGGAAGCTTTGAAAATGGGGGTGTGATCTGACTGAAACTGGAAAAATATTTTCAAAATATGCAGTATCTCCATTTTGTCCCCTTATTTTTTGATAGCTATTGGATATTTACAAACTTTATGCAAACAGAATTCATTCTGCCATTAAGAGTTTTTCACAAATAAAATCTAGATAAGAAGTTCTTGAGTTGGCCCAGTGATTATCAAAGCATTTTTTTTTTAAATTTTCTGAAATTCTTGTGTTCTTGGAAAAGTATGTAGTAGTTTTTGTTTAATTTTGTGATCTTTCCTTGCATAAAACAATTCAGTTTGAATATAAATTTTAAAAGCTCAAATACTGTTACTGTGGTTATCACATGAGCAAAATGACTCACAAGACAAAAAATAGTTAATAGAATGAATCAGTATGCAAAAGAGGAATTTCATGGTACAGTATGATATACAATTAAGCAATGATTTTTATCTCCTTGATGAATAGGAATTGGAACTAATACTTTACTTTGAATGATAGTTCAATGGAAAAAAGGGAAGCTTCCAATCTTTGAGCAGTGCAAAAGTAATTATATGAAAAAATGAAGTTCTCTTTTACCGGTCTAAATATAGATCCCATTACAGCAGTCATTTTGCTTGTCCTTACTTAACAAAGCAATGATCTGACTTGTCCTATTGACTTAATTTCAGTTAAATCAAGTAAATAAGTTTTTGCAGAGTCAGAATGGCAGTTAAATATTTTAAAAAAAATATTACAACCCCCCCCACTTCTGAAACCCTCTTTGTACTGCCAGCATCCAGTTTATTTCATCTAGCAAGATGCAAATCCATACCTCCACGATAGGAGTTCTCACTGAATTCCTAATTATAACAGAGTGTATGCATGCTTTTACAGTACAGACTTCTTTTCAGTATTGTCTGTAATTTTAAGTATTATCTATATAGCAGAGACTTTCAAAGAAAAGTTCCCTCTGATTAATAAGGAAATGTAGAAAGCTGATTCAACTGCTTGGGTGTGCTGTTTTGTTACAACATTTGTAAATATTTGCTGTAACAAGAATTGTACTTCTGTCAGTCAAGCTTGCTGAAGCCAGTAATGCCAGCATAAAATGATGCAAATGCCATGAATCGGCTCAATGAATGTACTATGTTGATTATATCTTGACAAAAGATTCACTATTCAAGTTGGAAAAAAACTCAGCAAACTCATAGTTCTGTGTTAACTTTGATCTTATTTTCCTCTTTCCTATGCATTTTTTGTATTTATTTACCATGTATGTTCTTAGTATTTAATGAAAATTTATCAGTCATTACTGGATCAAGTAGATCCACTTTCATTTCCATGTTCCTGGAACTTAATTGTAGACTGTACTACTTTTGTAATGCAAAGGCCAGTTTATTTAACTGTATCGTTCAGTATTACTCAAATATTTAAGAGTTATTTGGTTCAGAAGACCTTCAGGATGTACTGAGGATGTGTAAACTTTAAAGGAAAAGAAAAATCAAAACCAGTGCTAATTTGTATTTTTTAAAAAGTTCTTGTTCATCTTCTTGCAGTTTATTTGATCCTTTACTAGATACGTTCTTCTGTAGTGGGCAAGGAGAAAGCCAGATGGACACCTTATGTGAAATCTGTTGCTTTATGTAGCTGGAGAAGGAGGCAGCACCTTGCTCCCATCATTCAGCTGTCCAGTTTGCTTATGCCTCCTTCCTCACACGGCCCCATCATTACAGAGCAGCTCTTGTGAAGGTGGAAACTGAGTCATCACGCTTCTTGTGGGGAAACTAGAAATGAATACAATGTGAAAAAATGGTTTCTGTGTTCTCCCTCTGCTGCCCTCCCATCCTTATAAAGATGACTCCTTGTATTCTTTTAATCAGTGCTATTCTTTCTTCTTTACAGATTATTTAAAAGAAAAGCAAATAGATTTGTAATATTTTGAAACATTTTGCTTAAAATATGTTTTTACAGTATTTTGTGCTAATTTTATGTAACAACACACAGTATTATTTCCTACAGAAAAAAAAACGTAAATCTGAAACAACACTGAAACCTTCATGCAAATTAATTTCCACGTTCCTGTGTATATAACAGCTTCATTAATCTCATAAGTCATTAAAGAAAATGAGTTATAATTTATTTTAAAAATAAGGTCCATTCCAACCAGCTTTCTCTAAAACGGCTTGGATGCAGCTTATTCAAATGAAAGGAACAGTCACTAAGTTTAACTATTTCTTTTTATAACTGGAGCAAGAATGCTGTAAATGACCAGTCGTTCTCTTCATACTGCTCATAGATACATATTTTACATGTGTATTTCATCATGTTACCACATTTTTTGTTTTCACTAAAGCCAGTACAATCTTTTGCAGCTGTTGGTCCTGATAAAAAGTCTATGTAGCTTAAAGTAAAAATGAAGACTTACATGGTGGTAAATCAGGCTAATCCCTTACTTGATCTTACTTATCTAATGTTCTGTTACTA